GGTGATGCTGAGTCTTTTGGTTTACAAAGGGCCTTATTAAATTTAAATTTTCTTTTTTATTAGCAGCCTGACAAACATCAACAGACATGACATTTCCCTATACAAAGAAAAAAAACCCAAAACACAAAAAAAGAAAACTGCATATGAAACTGAATCTCCACTAAGTTCAGCTTGATTTTTTTGTATATTTATTGCCAGTTTAACATGGTAGTTCCAAAATTCCCCTTCTACTGCTTAATTTTTAATAATTCACTGATGATCATTTCCTTTTTCTTCCTTTAGTATTACTATTCCCTCCAAATCCTGCTTAATCTCCCCCTAAAAAAGTCCTCCTGTGTAGCAAATTAAGTATAGTCATGTAAAACAAGCTGTCACATTGGTCATGTCTGAAAATATGTTTCACTCTGCACCTCCAGTCCATCACCTTACTTCCAAAAGGTGGGCACATGTCTTTTGGAATCATGCTTGATTGCATGAATCAGAGTTCTTAAGCCTTTCACAGTTGCTTTCCTTTACAATGTTATAGCTGCATAAATTGTCCTGGTTCTGCTCACATCACTTTGCATTAGTTCATACAATTCCTCTCAAATTTCTCTGAATCCATTCCCTTTTTCACTTTTATGGGACATTAATGTTTTATTATATTCACATATAATAATCTGTTCACTTATTCCCCTTTGTTTTCACTGGAAACTTCTTTTTATCACTGACCTCCTTGGCATATACACCTAGTAATACTCCTAGTTTTTAAATTCCTTTTCAAATTATCTTCTATTTCTTCATCCAATCACATGCTGTATCCCCCACATCAAAATGCAATTCTTTGGTAGCAAGAACTTTTTTTTTTTAACCAAGTGCCTATGGGGTAGAATTGAATTTAAAGGAAAAATACTTTAAGGAGCACTTATTGAAGGGTAGCACAGTCTTTTCATAGAACAAAACAAACAAACAAAAAACGGCTACAATTATGGAGTTGATCCATTTTGAAATTTTGGACTTCCTGTATATCAGATGATAGTTGGCATAGCTCACCTTTACTTGATTATAATCACAACCAAAGGTTTTCCAGCATTGTAGGACCTGACAGGCTTTGGTTTATATTCTTTAGAATAGCCTTTGAGAAATCAGGGTTACCAAGAAGTCAATCAAGAGAGAAGTATGTTAAATTTTTTTAAAAAAGCCTCAACCACCCAACACATGGGTACAACTCATCATTGTCCCCCTAAAACCTTCCCCAAACACTAATTTCTCTATGTTTGTTGATGGCACCATCACTCACTCTCAAACACTCACATTTCAAACTTATTTTTCTCATTGCCCACATCTAATTCAATTCAATAAACTTATTATATCACTTTGTGCAAGGTACTGGGGATTCTAATATGAAAAAAGCTCACAGAATTCCTGTCTACAATCTAAGAGGGGAACATAGAAGGAAGATTAAAACATACACAAATAAGCATAGTACAACATGGAGTGATATAAGGGCAAAAGAGACAAAGCCTCATAATGTGGGGAAGAGACCACTTGTAGCTGGTGCACATGAAGACAAAAACAAAACCATTTCTGCCCCAGGAGCAGACTGTTGGTACTTTGCACATCCTTCAGTGAATCAGATCTCAGCAAGATGGATTGGTCCTCCTTTCAGTACTGCAGATCATAACCCATCTGTGCTTTCTCATCCTACAAGATGCTTGTCTATGTCTGCCTATGGATTCTGAGAGAATAGAGTGGAGGAAAGCAGAGGTGTTAAGAACCATGGTTTTTATTAAACATGACCTTAACTATTGGTACTCAAAATGTGAGATCTTTGCCCAATGACCAGTGAAAAGACATTCAACTAGAAAAATTGAACCTTATTTCCCACAGATCAATCTAGAATATTTCTCTAGGTCTCAACATTCTGTGGGAACCAGTGTGTCACTTAGGATGTCCATTTTTTTTTCTCTCATTACATCAACATGACCAGCCCACATCCTCTTCTGATTATAGACTTCCTGGATGATAATCTTTCATGCTTCATAAAGTTATTCTCTGATGCCTCATCATACTGTTCAAGTGACTCTGGGTTCTAAATTATCATGCCCATGAAATTCAAAATTTGATAGGTTCTGTCATGCCAGAAGGATTTTGAGTATAGTTCCCCAAACAGATTGTCTGATTTACAGAAGCCAGCTTAAGTACAGAAAAGCTCATCACTAGTAGGGTAACCCCCTGGGTAATAAATTCCTTGGTCCCTGGCAACCCATGAAAAAAAAGAAAAACACAAAAAGCATTCCCCACCTTCTCCATTTTTTTGTTGCACTTTGGTTCAACTATAATGTCAAGTCTTCAGAAATAACTATTTACAACTATGTGGTACGACTGGAACAATATTGATGATTTTAAAATATTGTTCATGGGTAAAATGGAAATGTTTTGTATGATTTCAGTGAATAATGAGAATCACTATTTCTTGCCTTCTCAATGTATGGGGAAATGGCTGGAAGGAGGGAGAGAATTTGGAACTCAACCTTTTAAAAAATGGATACAAAGAATAATAAAAAGAAAATTAAAATAATGTTATTATTGGGTTTTTATCCCAGTCAGTAGTTTAGGATTGTTGAAAATGCTATGCAATTTCTCAAATTAAGTCCAATCTACTTTTTCCTCCATATTCCACTCTGGCCCCAAATCACGATTCATCTGCAGCACCTGTCCAAGTATATGCACTAATGGACACATACAATGAGCTGCCATTCAATTACATGCGACTTTCTAGATAAGAGAAACTATTTGGGTTTTCCTATGTGGATTGTTAAACTGCTCTCTTTTGAATGGTAATGGATTTTTGTGACAAAACTCAAGAGAAGTGATACCTAACTCAAACAGAAATGGGAACCATAATAAGGTTCCCTGAGAGTCACATTTGATTTAGAAAACCACATATCAATGTTATCTATATTTTACTGTATTTTCATTAATTGTGTTAAATATTTCTCAATTACATTTTAATCTAGTTCACGATACACTCAGGAATGTTGTGGGCCATATGGGGCCTGTGGGGCTGTGTATTTGATACCTCTGCTTTAGAATATGGGGCATACTGCACTCAGCAAAGCATACATTGTGAATAGGTGCATCTAAGGAACTTCAACATCTGCAAGATATGTTCCTTATCCAATGGTTCTACACTAGACATCCTCCATACGAGTGAATAGCTTCCTACTTTATGCTGTACTTGGTATACACAATCATAGGACTGTTGATTGAAGTTATTTTTGTGGTTGTACTTATCAGGGAATTTTTATGATCTAAACATATGCATGATATATCTTGTTAGAGAAGAGGTTTTAAGACTATTTTGTTTTACTCAGACTTTTATCATCAAGAAATAAACATGACAGGATTTTTACATTCTCTGCATCTTTCAGTCAGCTGTGTGACTAAAAACATGATCTATAAAAAAAATACTGCCTGTTTCCTTGTCATATTTTTATCAAGGATTCCTTAATATACATTTAGACCATTCTCATAAAGTTACATCTCTATGAGAATAGTCTTCATGTATGTATTCTCAAATGTCTTTTGGGAGTGGGGGTGGTAATAATACTACCCATGATTTTTCCCATTCACTATCTTCTCTTCATTCATAGATCTCGAACCTTATTTCTTAAGGCTTTTAAAACGGTATTGCTTTCAGCACAGACCTCTTCTCTATGTACTTGGTCTGGTTTGACTGCTCTTCTTGTCTTCATCTTCTTTAGTACACTTTCCACTTCCCAATTCAATGTATCAAGAACTGGGATGTTAAAGTCCACATGCGGTAGTTCCACTGTCATCAATGATGAAAAGAAAATGAAAAGAAATGCTTACAAATCCATTCCATATTTTATCTGTCTTTTCAGTTTAATCTATTAATGTTATTTGGATGAGATAGCTTAGCTGGGTGTCAGGCCAAACTTTTTTCAGAATCATTTGCACACCAGAATAGAGACTAGATACCTATGATTGATTAAAGGGAACTCCCAGATAAAGAACTCCCTTGCTACCACTGCAGGTCAGGGTGAGTTGTCTAGAGCTACAAGAAGGTTAAATGATTAGTCCAGGGTCATATAGCTAATGTATGTTAGAGGCTGAACTTGAACCCAGGTCTCCTTGGCTGTGGGACTGGTCTCTCTATCCACTATGCCATGATGCCTCTCATATGCGTACTTAATGTTAGTTGAACTGAATAAATATTCTTAACTGACCAGGAGAGGATAAAACATATGTATCCTCTGAAATTGAATAGAATCAAGGATCTTAAGAGTTGGAAGTAACCTCAGGTGCCACTTACTTAAATTTGTATCTTAAACCAAAATTCTCATCAAGTAGTCATGTAGCCTTTACTTGAAAACCTTTAGTGAGGGAGAATCTGCTACCTCTTGAAGCATACTATTTTATTTTTTATAATTCTGGTTATTAGGAAGTTTTATTTTCTAGCATTTTGCCTAAATTTCCCTCTCTAACTTCTATCCACATTGCCTCCCAGTACTGCCCTCTGGGGCCAGTACTTTTCCCTTTTCAGGAAAAAACAAAGCTCTCCACTAAATTACTTACATACACTTAAAAACTACTAAGAATGGTTCAAATTTTAGGATATTAAGGGATTTTGTTTTGCTTTTAAATTTTTGGCTTAAGAAAATGGAAAAAAAAATCACCGAAAGAACTAACTATCGACTGCTGACTTTTATTATGTATGCAGACACACTTCAGGTAGGTGACTTTTTTCTTTTGCTCTGTCAAATAATTATTTTTAAAAGCTAACAAACATCAGAGCAATATCAAATGCTGAGCCTGTAAAGGAATGGGGCTGGAAAAATAATTATTTATAACTATGTAGAGTTAACATTATTGAAATGGAAACACAACAAATATGTTCAAAGACTTAATTTTACAATACTTGAAGTACAACTTATTGCAGCAACTGAAAACATTAAAAAAACCTGCTGTCAAACAGAACTCAGACTACATTTAGCAAAGGTTAAAAAAGGAGCAATTTAATTATTACAGTTTACAGAGTGCTCTATGAAGTTATTAAAAAGTGAAAAAAAATAGTGCATTAAATTGCTGCAGTCTTTACATCGTAAAAATAAAAGTTAACAGTAGTATGAAAAAAGCCATCCACAAAGCCAGAAGTCTGTAGTGAATAGATCAGCTAAATTGTAGTATTTTGGAAATACTTATAAAGCCATATTTAAAAAATAAAAAATAACCATTTATAAAAACGAAAGCAGCATGCATATCCAAGGCTCTTCCATAACTTTCTCTTAGTTGACAAGTGTTTAGGTAAAAATTAAAAGCTTAATATTCATCATTCATTAAATTAGGTGAAACAAACTAGGCAAGCCCACTAGATCTGGTCACTCAGAAAAGCATTTTAAGAACAAAATACTCAACTAAATTTTTCTTCCATGAAAACAGCACATTTTTAAAAAAAAAATGGTCCTACAGTCACAAACAAAAGTGTCCCTCAAATAGGAATGAAAAGCACCAGTCTTTACAAATAAGTTAATATGAACTTTCAGTCTCTTGATACGGCAAAATAGTTGTTAATACTACAATAATTTGCAAGCAAAAGCTAGCTTTTAAATGGCTAATGACAGTTATTAGTTTAGGAATTTTTTCTATAGCCACTGAAATCGTTACAGACGGTAGAACTTGACTGGGAATTCTAGAAAATTCTGGACTGATGCATTATCTGTACATTATTTTACATTATTGTTAAAAAACACTCATTAAGCATATATATACTACATAATTCTTTTTCACATTTTTGGTACAAAGTTTATTTCAGAGATTCTCTCTGCAAATTCTTATGCCAGCTTTTTCCCTTATTCAGTACATCATTTTCTTCAGTTTAATGAAAAACAAAATCAGTCTTTTATTAAAGTAGAAACAGGAGTATTACAGATATTAATAGTAGCATCCAATGATGTCTTCAACTTAAAAAAGCCGATGACATAGGCCCTGTGGCTTGGGGTTCCAAAATGTATAAATATGCTGCATTTTCATTTATGTATAAGTTGTACAAGCACATGCACAACTTTCAAAATTAGTGCAGGGCCTGATAAATAAGACACAGAAATAAATCATTTTTTCTTTTTTTTTTCTTTAACCTGTTTCTAAGAACTTTTACTCTGTAAAATGTTTGGTCACTCAAAGCTATAAGCTTAATCATATATCAAAGAACACAGGCAATAAAGCCCATCTTACTAGAACATACAGTATTAAGCTGGACAAAATTATAAGAGGACAAAATCTAGTGGTCACTTAATTCCCTCAAAAAAGCCTAAGAAACAGAATGTTTCCATCCTGCATCAGAATAAAAATGTATTAAAATCTGAATTTTTACAAGTTGTCTTTTAATCAGTGTTCTATTTACAGTGTAGAATTTCCACCAACTGCAGTAGTTTAACTTTGGCACAACACTAAGTTCCATTCCTTTCGAGTATTCAATCCTATGTTATAAGAATGTGTGTATGTCCAAAAATATTCTCAGTTTCATAAAAGATTAGGCCCATTCACAGTAAATCAGATATCTTGACTTCAAGAATTGAGTCCCCTTCACCACTGTAGGTAACTATAAAGGAAAAACATGAGACTGAAAAAGTCAAGAAAAGAATATTAGTCAAAACCATATCTGAATTTTTCTTAAAGCACTTTAGACATGATAACTATAGGAAAAATTAACTAAAAGTGAATACATCCTTTATTCTTTTTGGTTATTATTGAAATTACTTGCCACCCACAGTTTACAAAATGCATTAGATTTCATGTATAGCTAATATATGTATAAACTGTGTAAGTCTTGCATATAATAACTTTCATTCATGAGAGTAGGGCCTATAATAAATTATCAGATGATTAGTTTAAAAAAGTATTTACACGCTTTGTGACAATACATATAAATGTGTGTATATGTGTATATATAGACTACGGGGCATTGTGGAACATAGGGACTAGTATGCTTTTTTATCTGAAAGGCTGACTCATATGTATATATATGTATATTTAAGTGTGTGTGTATATGTGTGTATGTTGGTATATACTTTCCTTTATGCCGTCTGGTAAGATTAACCCACATTTTTACTACACTAACAGAATCACCTATTTGAAACAAAATTGTGATGGGTCTTTTTGTAAAGTGAAAAATTCTCTTATAATGTATCTGTTTTGTAAATCCAGATTTATTTTAGAAGAAAGGTACCCTATCTACATGCACACAAATGCATATACAATACACATACGTTTTTTGAAAACTGTAGGGTTCTCGTGAATTTTCTGAACAAAATTAGTATTATTATATTTATCATGCAACATAAATACTGCCCATGCAAATTGTTAAAGTGATATTACACTTTAGAATAGTGCAAAGAGTTTCATGTTTTCAGTAGATTTCAATCCCTTCCCAAAAAGTACATCAGGGTCTAAGATAAAAAAATCAACACAGCAGCAATTCTGTTGATTTATTTTGGCTTCATACATATTTTGTCTTTTTTAGAAATAATGGAGAAAGAAAACCTGTTAAAAGAATTTTGTGCATCTGGGTCAGAAGAAGGATGGCATAAATATTTCTGATACTATAAAAAGTCAAATGGAACTTTAGGATTAATCTATCCAAAATGTTTAAGTTATGACTTATAATGCTTATGTATGCTTTACAATCAGAAATGGAGTTTATACTATTAAAGTAGTTGCATTTTTAGTTTCATCTATTTTCATGGTTACAAATACATTAAATTTTTATTGTTTTTTTTGTTTTGTTTTTTTGGGGGGGGGGGCTAGGCAATGGAATTAAGTGACTTGCCCAGGGTCACACAGCTAGTAAGTGTCAAGTGGTCTGAGGGCGGATTTCAACTGAGATCCTCCTGACTCCAGGGCCGGAGCTCTATCTTAGCTGCTCCCTATATTAAATTTCATAAACTAGACACGGGATTGTTGAGTAAACGTAGATAGAATGCTTGTGAATTGGGGGATAACACAAAAGGCAAGAGTAAGAGAAGAAAGTTATAGGTTCAGGAATGGGGGAGAATGGGGTAAGAGACAATTATGAATACATGTATCATGTGCACAAGAGTGAGAAAAGGATCTTTTCCCTCCCCTACTTTATTTTGAGAACATTACAATATTATTAGACAGCATAATGCTACTTTATGTGAATGTCCAATTGTAGTGCTTGGTATTGATACATTAACATATTTTATGATAGCTGTATTATTTTTAAACTGCATTTCTATCTTTGAAATAAACAAAATGTTTCAAAATATTAAGAAAAGAAAAACAAAAGAACACCTAATAATCTAAGATAACTATACGGATGAATATTGACAGTGACAACCTTTAAGTATCTACATTTCTAACCTGAAATAAATTATCCAAATTAAAACTACAGAAAAGTTATAAACAATTGAATTTTGTAGAGGAATTAAAATTTGGGGAAATGGCCAGACTTAAAAAAAATTCAAAGTTTTATTGGCCTAGGGGTATTTCATTCTATGAGGTTCTGGGTTCACAGTCGGGCAAAGCCTTCATTTATGAAAAAAAAGGACCGAAGCCAAAAGACTGGCACAAGTTTCAGCTCTGTAATCTCCCAAGTGATTCAACACCTGCAAGCCTCGATCTCATCTGCTATATGGGAATGCTAGTAAGTCCTTACCTCCCAGGTTCTTCACAAGAAAAGTACTGTGAACTGCTACACATTATATAAATGTGAACTTTTTATGATACTTTTAGCTTTGTACTCTAGATTTCCCATTACAAGGAGAATTGCAAGTGCAGATCTCCAAGACACCAAGGACATGCTATTCAGCACTTCTTAAACTATGGGTCGAGATCCAGTTTAAGAAGCACTGAAGGGGTCACAAGTGGAAAAAGTTTAAGAAGCTCTGCAGCATAGATAATAACAAACAAAACAACTGCCTAATCAAACATAAAATTCTGACACGTAATGGAATAGGTCTGTTGGTTTTTAATTGAAGAGATGACTACTCTTACTATATGAATCATCTTAAATTCCAAATTAAAAGGCTAATAAGTTTAGTGGGTGGGGGAAAGCAACAGTTAAGAGTTCAGTAAAATCTAAAACACAATGAGAAAAAAAATAAACAAATACTCATTTTCACCTAGTTTCCTAAAACTGAGCAATCCTCACCCCTGTAGTTATTCTTTCCTTCGGATTTACTTTTCCCCTTCTTTTTAGTTTTCGTTTTTGAATTCTTTCCTTAAATAGCCAAAAAACGAAGCTTTAGTGAAGGGTGGGTTGCCAAAAAAAAAAAAAGTAAAACATATTTTAGTATTTCTAGTTCTGATCATCAAGTCCCGTCCCCCAAAGGAGTGGGTAAAAATCTAAAACAATTAAAAATACATTGACATATAATATTCAGTGGGGAAAGAGATATGTACTTTAAATAATATATAGTATTGAATGACACTGGGGACCATTAATTGTGGATAGAATAGAAAATGCTCACTCTCAGTATGAGAATAAGAACATTATTTTTAGCTAATTTGGGAACAAAGTATTTGCTGGCCATGCTAATAGAATCTGATCCCTTCATTAGATGAAGGAAAAGTAACCCTAGAAGCTGTTACATCTGAAAGTCATTTAAACAAAGGGACATTTCCAAATGTATATAGTTCAAATGTGCACCTACATGTATTAAAAAAAACTTACATTTTAATCATCTGATTTAGAGAGTTTCCGCTTAACATGCCGTGGGGGTTCCCAGGTGTCACTGTCATCTGTTTCTTCATCATCCTCTTCCTGATCATCTATTATCTCATCATCATCTTCATTCTCCTCAAACAACTCTATTCCTAACTCAGATCTTCTTTGTCTTTCTGCAAACCACTCTCTGACCTGCTCATAACCCATATGTGATTTGGCAACAAGTTCATCTAGGTCTTGCTCGTTAAGAAATTTGTGCTTCATATAATAATCCTTAAGTATTGCAGTTCCAGTTTTAAATTTTATGAGTGATGGTCCACGGTCCCAGTTGTTTATCCTTTTGCTTCCTCTAGGCCTCCCACGAGGTCTTCCCCTTCCTCTTCCCTTTGGTCTTCCTCTCCCCCTTCTCCTAAAGGAAGCCTGTCCATTCATACTATTTGAACTGGCACTCTGATAGTAATAGTACCATTTTAAATTCCCATTTTTCCAAGCATATCGTGTATCTCCAAACCAACTAACAATATCTGTTCTAGCGAGCCCACTTTCCTCAGCTAACTTGTCATATTCTTCTGGTGATGGCCACTGTGTTCGAACAAATGCACTTTTAAGAATGTGCAACTGCTCTGGTGATTTTTTACACACTTTGTTTGTGGTGGTCACTGATTTAGGTGCTGCAGGTTCATTCTGAGGAGAAGCTTCTCCAGCTTCTTCTTTGGAGCTGCCTGCATTGCTTTCATCTATTTCTGTTTTCTCTTCCTTTGAAGCTTTGGATTTCTTTCTGTCTGTAAACCAGGCATCAATTTCTCTCCTGGTAAGTTTGGTTTGTGCTCTTAACCTGTTCAATTCTTCATCAGTAAGTACAGGGTTACTGAGGAAACTCGCTTGGAGGACACGCAACTGCTCTGAAGTTTTCTCTTTAAATTTTTGTGGAGTAAAGTCAGGGAAGGAATTCCCCAGCTGTTTAGGCTGTGGAGCAACAACTGTTGGGGATTCTGTAGTCTCGTCACTAGAATCAATAACGATAGGGGTACAAGCTTCACTGTTGAGATGGATACACTGATTACTCTTGGAATTTCTCTGATTATACCTTGTGTCACTAAACCACTTTTTGATCTCACCTTTAGTCAGGCCTGTTATTTTCATAAGCCTGATCACCTCTGAGTCATGAGGAAACTGATTTTTAAGATAACTAACTTTTAATTCTGCCAGCTGTTCTTTTGTCTTTTTTGCCCGGATACCAAATGAATCAGGATTCACCAATGCAGTTTCATGCTTGATTAACTGAGGAGTTAGAGTTGGGGCTGGGGCTGAGGTTGGAGTTGGGGCTGATGCTGGCACTGGCGCTGGAGCTGGCACCGGGGCTGGGGCTGGAGTTGCTGCTACCGGCTTTGTTTCTGCAATAGGCTGAGCACTGTGCACCTGACTTTTTTGCATATGAGTTTGATTTGGAACTCCCGCAACTGTCAAAGCTATAGGTGTTGTTACTGGCAATTGGTTAGTGCCAGCTACTTGTGTAAGGACCAGACCTGGCTGACCAACTATCTGGCACGTCTGTAAAATGGAAGGTAAACCATTACTAGCTGCTGAAATGTGTGTAGGAATCACTGTTATTGTTTGTGGTACAGTATGTACTGTGCCATTGAATTGTTTTCTCCTTGCCTCCTCTACTTCTTCTGGAGTCCAACTAACACCGTGTTTTAGGCGTTGGGCTGAAAACCATATCTTAATCTGTTCCTCTGTATATTTTGCTTGAGCAGATAGAACTGTAATTTCAGACATTGTTGGATAAGGGAATTTGTTGTAGGTGTTGAGCAAAAGAGGATTGTTATCCAAAGCAGCATTATAGGTGGGAATGCTGTTAAGAGGGATTAAAACTTTAGGAATCAAGTTAGAATTCTGCTGAGCTGATACAGCTGCTGTTATCACCTGTGCTAGCCCAGGCTGAAGAACTGCTGCTGGGGTAACTACTGTGTTTGTGGTATTTGGATGTATACTATTTACAACAGAAGTACTTGTATTAGACTCAGATGCTGATGACGCTGGATTTTTTACTACTTCTTCATGACCTGATTTAGTTTCGTTCTCTTTCTCTTCTGGAATGTCTTCAGAGTTATGGAAAACTGCAATCCGTTTATTCTCTACTTTATTTTTCATCATTTTCATTATAGGAGTTTTGCTGATAGAAATCCCTGATGAGGGAGCTTCTATAGATTCTACCTGATCTGAATTCTCTTCTTTAACAAAACTACCATCAAAAGTCAGATCGTTAATTGTTTGCTCAAAGATTGTCTGATTATTTCGTTTTACCATAGTCAGCTTAAAATTCTCTTCTCCAGGATGGTATTTCAAATTATGCTCGGAAAGCGCATCATATCTTTTGGTAAGAAAATTGCATTCAACACAAACATAGGATGAATTTAACACTATATTGGGATGCTCTGAATCTACATGAAAGGTAAACATGTTAAGATCTGGTGTTTGAAAAGTACAATATTTACATTCATAGCCACCTTCAACTTTTTTATTTTGTTGATTGTCAGAATCTACAAGTTCTTGAACATCTTCATCACTTGAGATACTTTCTGCTGCTGCATTTTCTATTGGTGTAAGTACAGGGGGACCGTCATCCAAGTCTGATATCAATTCTAGGTCCGGATCCTGTTCACTAGCAAGGACCATGCAAGGTGTTGTTGATTTTCTTTTGCTTGCCATTCTATTTCTGTGGGGGAAATCTCAACTGTGATTAGAAGGCAATGAAGATCAAACTCCTTCAGTTATCTTCATTTGAAAAAAATGGCTTTTGGTTCTATAAGTCCATCCCATTTGCAACTTTTTCATAGTGCAATCAAGAAAAGAGCTTGTAGCTGGTAGTTGCAAAGCTGAGTTGCTGAAACTTCTGAAGCAAACATCCAATCACCTGTATTAAAGAAAACAAGTTTTACAGTGAATAATTATGTTTTTTTTAATGAAGTACAGTAACACTATAGAAATCACCTATAAAACACAAAGACCAGAAATTATCAGTAATCATCAGGTTTATAATAGATGACAATTATACAGCACTTTAAGGTTTGCGTATATATATATGTATATATTCAAATTTGATCCTTTGAGAAAATTAAACAAAATGATTATCACAAAGTTTATACAATGTATTAAAGCTGATGTACTTTCTTTAGGGGAGAACTCCTTTGACCCTCATTCAGAGCCCATTTACCAAACTTGTTAGAATTTTGTAACAATATAAGAGTAACCTGGCTTCCGAGACCAAATAACGGGGTGAAAAAATATGCAGACATACAGATAGTAAGGAAATTATACCTGTGAGGAAAGAGACAAAAAAAAAGTAAAAAAAAAAACTAGACATAACTCAGAAAGCAGAATCTAAGGCCTTAAACATAAGGAAAAATAGCTTTTTCATGCCTAAAAAGGCCCTAGTAGTTCGCAGAATACAAAGATGTTCATAATGACCATGTTGAAGATTGTTAAGAACTTCAACAGTCTCTTTGGTTTTTTAATTGGAAAGGAAATCTCCAGATGATGTACACTCTTTATAAATAAATGACCATCTGGAAATCCAAATTAACAAATATTTATCAAGCACCTACTCTGTGTCAGGTGTCTGCTGGACATTAAGGATACAAAGACAAAAATGAAATCATCCTTGCCCTCAAAGAGTTTGCATTCTATTGGGAAAATATTTACATATATGCAACATAAAAATAAGGTAAATTTTGGGTAATAAGGGCTCTGGCAGCTGGGGAGAATGGGAAAGGAAAGATTTCATGTATAAAATGGTGCTTAAGTAGTGTTGAAGTAAACAGGGATTCTAAGAAACTGAGGTAAGGGAGGATGAGTATTCCTGGTATTTGGGGACAGCCAGTGCAAAGGTCAGAGACAGGAGATGTCCTATGTGAGGAAAAGTAAGAAATCTGGCCAAAAAAAGTGTAGAAAGTGAAGTAATGTAAAATAACAATGAAAAGGTAGTTTGGAATTAGGCCATGAAATTCTCTAATTCACTTCCTGATGCCAATTACACTCAGGATTTCCCTCCCCTTCACTGTCTAATGCTTCCTTGGACCCCCACACCATTACTTCTACTCCTCCCCACCCATATGCTGGTTTTCTCTGGCAATGTCCCTAGACTGATCCATTTCATCTAACCTTAACTCCTCCCAAAAGGCCAGGTACTGCATCTATTCCTAAAGCTTGCACTCTTGCTTTGGTTCCTGGGTTGAAATGACCAGGATAAACGACCAGGACAAGATATCCTGAAAAAATCAATCTTATTTTACTAAGATATTCTCTATAGGATCTATGGTAAAAATAAGAAACAAGTGTTACAGCATGAAGTGGAAGAGAATTTTAACCCCTGAAAGTTGGTGAGGGAAAATGGCAGCCAGAATTCAAGAATCTGAAAAAGAAAAGAAGGTAGCTGGGGAGCCAGTCCAGGTTAGAGAAGCAGTGCCAGAGGCTTATACCAGGAGGAAGACCAGGACCTAGATTTTTACTTTTGTCTCTTGAGACTCCTTTCCCCCCTCCCCATTATATGCTTTCACCTCTGACCCGAGTTAGGAATCTGAAACTAATAGCTGGGAGCTGGTGGAAGTCCTGCCTTTCAACAGGTATGGATGGAAATGGTGGAGGGAAGGGGGTCCCTGACTCTCTGCAGAGATAGGAGATGTTTCTGGAATTCCAAGTTGAAACTCTCAATGAATTTTCCTTGAAAATATTTTTTAATTTGCATTTAACACCAAAAGAAGAAAAAATTCCCTATACAGAACAGAAAAAGATTGTTTCTATATAAATTTCTAAATCTTATATTATACATGGCTTGCTTTTCTTCTATGTAAACCTATAGATATTTATTATTTAAAAAATGTTTCCATATTAGTCATGTTGTAAAAAAAGAAACAGGTAAAAAATGGAAAAAATAAATAAAGTGAAATAGTATGCTTCGATCTGCATTCAGACTCCATCAGTTCTTTCTCTGGATATGGATAGCATTTTTCATCATGCATCCTTTGGAATTGACTTGGATCATTATATTGCTGAGAATAGCTAAGTCATTCACAGTGGATCACTGTACAGTATTATTGTTACTGTGTATAATGTTCTCCTGGTTTTGCTCACTTCACTTTGCATCAGTTCATCTAAGTCTTTCCAGGTTTTTCTCATATCATCCTGCTCATTATTTTCTTATAGCATAATAGTATCCTATTACTATTATACACCATAACTTGTTTAGCCATTCCCCAATTGATGGGCATTTCCTCAATCTCCAATTCTTTGCCACCACAAAAAGAGCTGCTATAAATACTTTTTTACAAATAAGTCCTTTTCCCTTTTTAAAAAATCTCTTTGGGACACAGATCTAGTAGTGGTATTCATAGCTTGGTTTTTGTTTTTTTTTGTTGTTTTTTTTTTTGCTTTTTGGTGAGGCAATCAGGATTAAGTGACTTGCTCAGGGTCACACAGCTAGTAAGTGTCAAGTGTCTTGAGGTCAAATTTGAACTCAGGTCCTCCTCACTCCAAGGCCAGAGTTCTATCCATTGTGCCACCTAGCTGCCCCTCATAGCTTGCTTTTTAAAGAAAAATATAATAAATTCAAAATATTACTTTCAACACTATCCTGCTTGTTTGTATTTTCTTCTGAGAATTTTCTTTTAAATATTTTAGTGACTCTTTTGGGGGGCAACTCTTGCTTTCCTTTACATCTCAATATTCTCCCCAGTTGAAAAAGAGATATATGTCCCTTGTAACAAATAAGCATAGTCATGTAAAACCATTCCACACATTGTCCATGTCTAAAAATGTATTTCTCCTTCTGCTTCTTGAATCCACCTACTCTGTCAGAAGGTGAGTAATTTTCTTCACCATGCATCCTCTCAAGTTCTGACTGGTCACTGCATTGATCAGAGCTCTTAAGTTTTTCAAAACTGTTTTTCTTTTTTTTCTTTCTTTTTTTCTTTTTTTTTTTTAGGCAATTGGGGGTAAGTGACTTGCCCAGGGTCACACAGCTAGTAAGTGTCAAGTGTCTGAGGTCAAATTTGAACTCAGGTCCTCCTGACTCCAAGGCCAGTGCTCTTATCCACTGCGCCACCTAGCTGCCCCCAAAACTGTTTTTCTTTACAATGTTTTTTGTTACTGTTGTCCTGCTTCTGCTCATTTAAATCTGTATCAGATAATATGATTTTCTCAGATTTTGGCATATTTCTTACTGTGAAATAATATTCCATTACATTCATATATTACAATTTATTGAACTATTCCCCAATTATTAGGCACCCTCTTTTGTTTCTACTTATTTGCTACATTAAAGAGTACCTCAAATATTTCCATACATATGAGTACAGACAGAAAACTACTCCAACAGATTGTTACAGACATTGTCAGATGAGGTCACTGTACCATGGTTTTTGGTTTTTTGGGGTTTTTTTTTGGTTAATTTTCTGTTACAAGTGAGAGTTCAATTAGGAAGTGGGGGGGGGAAGTATTAAACAAAAGAAGTCTCTGAGGAAAATGAATGTCACCAAATTTATGTATGCAGTGCACTAAAAGCTCAAGTACTTTTTTTAGAGGAGAACTCCTCAGGCCCTCATTCAGAGCCCATATACCAAACTGCCAAGAGAAGGGAGTTATGTTTCCTTATCTGTTCTCCAGAATCATTACTGGTTTTTCCCTTATATCAAGTTTGGGTTCCTTAAAGTGGTTTTATCCATTACAATATGGTGGTCATTAGACATATTATTCTTCTGGTTCCTTCTTTATCAGTTCAGACAAATCTTCCCATGTTTCTCTCAATTCCTCCTATCTGTCATTTCTTTCAAGCCAATAACATTCCCTTACTTTCACATGCCCGGTTTTTATTTTCAGCAATTCATCCACAAATGGGTATTCACATGGTTACTAGCTCTTTGCTACTACACATGTGCAATAGATAGAAATAAGTACAGGAGGAATGGTATTCTCAGAAATGACTGTGATGTAACAAAAGGAATCAACTGAGATTTTTGGGAATATGTAGAGAACAGTGATATCAAACCTCTTCTTTTTGATCACTGGGGTACAATGATCAGAGGAATGTTATAGATATAGTTAACACAGATTTTAGCTAAGCATTTTATTATTTTATTCCCTGGAAGAAAATGGAGAGATACAAGCTAGACAAGAATACAATGAGATGAATTAGAAAGTCTACTGAAAATTGCCTTTGAGGCAGGAAGATCTAGATTCAAGTTCTGCCTATGACCTATACTGGGACTATGTGACCCTGGGCAAGTCCTTCAGTCTCTCTATGACCTAGGCAGAAGTGTCGAACTCAAACAGAAATGGATCCCTGTAGTTCACATATTGACTTAGAAAACCATTTATGTTGTATGATATTTTTATTTATTTTGTTAAACATTTCCCAATTACGTTTTAATCTGATTGGTAGCTAATTTGACACCTCTGCTCTAGGTAACTATATAAGACTATAAGTTGCAGAGAAGGTACCAACCTGCAATGGTAGAGTGATAGAGAAATTCCCTATGCCAGTGAAATTACAGGCCCAATCTCTATCCTGATCCAAGGACTTAGACAAATACCTAGTTTCAAAGAGTAGTCATTAATAGTCCAGGTCAATTTAGAATGTCTCCAGTGGAATGCCTCAGGAATCTGTGTTTGACTCTATACTAATATTTTTGTAAATAACCTGCATAAGGGCATAAAAAGCATCTTTTTCAAAATCACAGATGTTACAAGGCTAGGTAGGATAGTTAGCACAATAATAGATGACAGGATCTAAAAAAATCTGAGTAAGCTGTACAACTGGGCTAAATTAAAAAATTGAGATTTAATAGGGATAAATGTAAAGTTTTATACTTCAGTTTAAGAAACTGACTTCACAAGTACAAGACAGGTAAGACATAGTTA